AGAGACAAAGTAAAAAGGAAAATAATAAATAATAATAAGAATAAAAACATTTTATATCATTTGATTTAAAAAATAAGAATAAAGCAAGTGAAAAAAAAAGTTAATATTACACTTTTTTCTTAAAATAATGAAAAGAGAAAAGGTTCATGCAAAAATATATTTTTATATACATGTAAAAATGATACGTAGTGTAATAATTTTTCAATATTAAATATTAAAACTTATTAAAATAAATAACTTAAAATTTATTGATAATTATTTTCATATTTTACAACAAAATTATTTATTTAAAAATAATTTTTTAATTAAAACAAATCAATTTTAATAAACACTTTCTAGCTGCATTTACTAGTGGTACACACTATGGCGCTTCTCATTTTCTTATATTTTGAATGAGTTTGCATTTTATGTAGGTATTACAGCCTCTCTTTTTTTTTAATTTAATCAAATCATATATATATATATATATATATATATATATATATATAATATCTCATTCATATTTATAAAATTACAATACTTAATTACTTATCATTAATTTTTTAAAGTTACATTTTATTGTTTTAATATATTTATAAGTATATTTTTAAATTAATTTAAAATAATTCTTTTATATTATATATTCTCATATAAAATTTATATTTTTTTATGTATTAAAAATTAATTTAAAATAAAAAATAAGCTAGTTTATTTATTTATATAAGTTTATATAAAAATTAAACAACTTAATTCAAATAACTTTTAATTAACTTTGATTTAGATTAATTTCTCTTAATTGATTCAAATATAACCAAACAATAATTTTATGATATAATCAAATAATATTTTTCATCTAAAAACTAATTCAAATCTTCCTGTTTTAATTGCCTGTACAGTTGCATATTGAATGAACGCTGAAAATCAGGAATGGAAGAGGGCTGGTTTCTACATTCATGGGATAATGTTTCCTCGGATTGACTCTGTAAACAATTGACCCTGGTAAACCCTGTCATCATTCGATGACTAAATTGGTAGAGTTGGTCCCATTATAAGTCATGGATTGAGTGAAGTCTTGTTGTGTGGCTGTTCCTTGGTCATCAGTGGCAACTTGTCCACTATTGCTAGTATTTTCAGAGAAGATACCCTTGCTGAAATCTATATAGTTTTCATACTCCATGCTTGACTCACTGTTTAAGTATAATTTAGATGCTTCAAGAATAGAAAAATCAATACATTTTATTAAAACTTTGCTGCAAGAATATTCTGGACAAATTGATCATTGGTTGTTTATTCCATGTATATTGGTATTCTCATTGTCAGTTCTTCCTTTACTTACAATATTACTGGTGCATTAGTGGTACCAACCAGTTCAATTTTGGTTTAAACAAAAGGCAGTATAGTTGTGCCATTTCTCGGTGAGGAAAAGCAGAAAATTGAAAGTTATCATAAAATCTCATCATTCGTATGGAAACAAACAAAAATGCCACAAAGATAATTTTTAACAAGGTTATATTATAAGATATGTGTGAAGTCATCTCACGTGAACCACTCATTCTTTAAGTACTCAACAAGTTAGTTACATGATTTTTTTCATTATACTTTCTCATACTTCCAGTGTAACTATGATACTAGAGTTAATGATGCTCTAAGGACAAGAAAAAGGAGTAAGATACAACAACATGCAAAATTGTCCATAGATTTATAACAATATAGGTAAGTTATCGGTTCATAAATATGCCACTTTTGTAATCTCTACAAAAATTATATTGAATCCTAGTCTTAAAAAAATTACAAAAGTTAGAAGATAAATAGCAAACTTTTCTTTTTGGTTTGCTATAAAATAAGGTAGGAGAAAGAAATTTAGAGCTAGTTAGCCCACCAAAACATTTTTAATTTAAAAATTATATATAAAAATTAAAAACACAAAAGTATCTTCTATGAATAAAAACATAATGTAATAAAATTGAATAATTAAAATGTTATGATTATTATAATTAATTTTTTTTATCTAAATTTGTTTATTTTTCATTTTCTCTTCAACATATTAAAAAACTTTTTATTTATATAAGTAACACTTTTTTTTTCATCTTACTTTTTTTTGTTTTTTTATTTATCGTCTAAACTACCTTAATTCTTATCAATGGATATAAATCACGTCTTATTTTATTAAGTAAAATTTAAAACAATTTTTTTAACATTTTAAAAATTAAAATTTCTTTAATTTTTTTAATAAGACACATTTTACTAAGTTAACAAAAGTTGTTAAAATTAGTTAATATAAAGTGAATTTTAAAATTTACGATACTCTTTAAAAAAATTTAGTATCATTTCTTACACGTAAAATAATTTTGATCATTAAATTTATATAAATAAATAATAAATTTGATAGTTTAATTGAAGAAAATATTAATAGCCTTTCATCATCTTTAAAATATTATAAAAATTATTAATTTAAAAATATATAAAATACCCTTTTAAATTTTCCATTACCGCAACAAACATATTTTAAATATTACCATAAAATGACAATTCATTTGACATCAACGTACTTAACTTCTTTATCAATACTTGTCTTTGATAAATTTAATTTGTGTTTCTATTAAATTTATTTATTAAATATATTAAATGTTTTAAAAAAAATACAATGTGCCCTATAAGAATAATTTCTAAAACTTTATAAAAAATACAAGAGAAAGTAACTTATTTCATATTTCAATTTATCTTTTTGTTTCCTGAAAAATAAATTCCATCACCAATTTTTTATCTAGGCCTAAGTTTGTGGAAGATTAATAAAATAGGTGCTATATTAGTTATAATTGAGGTGTCTTGATATTAAATGGTTATGCAGGTTTGCAGGTGTGTTTTTTTTAAAGATTCACAAATAAAATGCTTATCAACGCTAATGACAAAGGATATTAAACGATAACAGTATTACAACAATATATAATAAATACCTAAAAAACAATCAAATACATGTTGATAACTAAACACAAATTAACAATTTTATAAACTTCAAACATAAAAAACAAATATTCCTGCCATGACACGTGAAAGAGAAAAAAACAACTCTTTTTTTTATCCTTTCGAATTAGTACAGAATTTTATAATAAATGAGATTAATAAGGACCCACATTAAACTTGTCTATCCACAAAAATTGTTGCTGCAGATAGCCAGATACGGATTGGGCTGTGGCCTGTGGCATGACAAAGCGCTTACTAAAGGTACAACAGGGGCTCCGACAAATTTGATGTCAGAGAACAATGAAATTACTGTGAATGGAAAAAGAAGAAGAAGCGTGATATAATGGAAGAGAGATACATGTTATTCTTTTTTTAAAATACCCATCAAATGGAGAAGAAAATTCATCAAATTTACCAAAGAAAACTCTCTCGAATCAGCGATAGGATGTGGGTTAAGGGATACAGGATGAACTTTACTTCTTGGTTTTTTTTTTTTTTGGTCAACGCTTTACTTTTTAGGTAAAATATTAGATTTGATAGTATAATCTGGGCAAGATATGGTCATGAATCCATGGTCTACTTTTTGGGCCTGAAAGAAATAAAGGTATGGTTCATCGTTATTTTGACTAATTTGGGGTTTGAGTAGCAAAATGAAAACTCTGGGTTTTCTTTTTGGTACAATGCGGTTGTCTTGTTCATATGTGTCTTAGACCGTGGCGTAATTTATTTTTTGGGTCAGTGATCTTAGCATCTTATATGCGGCTTCTTTTCACATTCCAGTGAGCTAGCCAGCAAAATGGGCTTTTGTTGGGCTTTGTATTTGTCGGCTTTCTTGTATTGTTGAAGATGTGGGCTACTAAATTTTAATAAAATTACTCTAAACTTTTTAACTCAATCCATGACCAGGTTGGAATCTTGAGTTTAGCAAATTTTCACAATTTTCTCTCCCAATTCCTTAAAAAAGCTTGGTCAGGTTAACAAGCTCAGGCTGCCCATTTGACCGAAAAATAAAATAAGATTCTCAGGCTGCCCATACATTATTTCTTATTATCAAAAACATTTTGTTACAAGCATTGTGTTAAAATCGGCCATTGATTTATGTCAGTAAAAGAAAATTATTACCAGAATAATTATAGTGCAAAAAAGTGTAAAAAAATTAATAATGATACTAATGTGTGATTGCATTATTTGTATTATATATATTGTAAGGACTCGTCTAATCACTTTATTGTACATTTTGTGTTATATAAATTCATTTCTGCTTAAAATAACGTATTTATCTTTTCAAGATTATGATTAAATAAATAGACTATGCAACAAATTATGACATTAATTTGTAACTCCACTAGCTTTTGTGTTATATATATATATATATATATATTTTGCAAGTACTTATATGCAGTCATATTATCTTAAGATCCAACGTGTTATTTTAAGAAATTTTATTTATCTTTTCTTTTAAAGAAAATTAATTTACAGAATGAATTATATATATGACACTGATGTGTGGACAGATTAACAGGATGCTGCAAAAACTACACAAGGAGCCACATGTACAACCGAAGCAACTCTTAATTGTGAGAACATAACGAAAGTTTAATCACCTAACTTCGGAGCTTTAGTCTACATACATACCATTATACTTAATCCACAAACCAACAATAAATTTAACTAGTCACTAGAGGATTTGGCCCACTTGGACGTTGCCTTTCTTGCCTGTTGAAAAATGGGTACACATAAAACTTGCACGCTTCAAGGCGTAAGTTAATCCTGGCTATTTGTATTATCTTAGAAGCTACGCATCTCATTCAATAGTCAGAAAGTAACAAAAAAACTTGAAAATTGAAATGGATAATAGCGCTTCCACGTGAGTAGAAAATAACATTTACCTCTCCGTCACTAAACAGGTTTTAATTAGTTGAAAAATCACCACGTTGTTCCAGAAGAGCAAAAGCAGTAATTATTTTTGTCTTTTTTAACTCATTAAACTCGTTGTATCAACTTGTCACTAAACTAATAGTGTTGTTTTGACATGCACAATTGCGAGATATCACGTAAAGCAATCGCAACGCTTGCTCTTGTGATTAGCTTCAGGTCCTACTCATAGTCTCATACATATATATACGGTGCGTTTCTAATTAAGTGACAGTGAGGAGGGTGGCTTTCCATGTAAGATAATTAAGATCTCACCAAGAATTCTATTAGCTCGTCGTCAAATCAAAGGAAACTGAGAGAGCGAAAGTGAGGAGTGGGAGAATCATGGACAAATTGTATGGGTTGAGCCATCTCTTTATGACGGTATTTCTTCATAACTTCTCCACATTCATGGTGGTACCAGCCATCACCGATGTCACAATGGCTGCGCTTTGTCCCGGACAAGATGAATGCTCACTCGCCATCTACCTCACTGGTTTTCAACAAGCGGTGAGTTCCACCAATGTTACACCATTTTCTTATGTTTTGTTAGTGTTGTCCGTTTTCTTAGATATTTTAATTTTTTGATCTAACCTACTCTTTCGATAGCAGTTTTAAATTAATAAGCAACGCAAAACAGCAATGAACAAATATGAACTTTTATTGAACCGATCCTTTTATTACCTCAATATTTAACTAAAATCCAGTAATGTTTGTGTTTTCATTTCCTTTTTCTTTTCCCTTGATGTGTGGAGATTTATATTAATATTGGATTTAATATTTTCTAATCCCACATTTAACAGGCATATTTCTGCTTATAAATTTTGTTCTTTGGAAAAAAAACTGTGGGTATTTTTTAATTTTGTCAGTGAAGTTAACTTTTTAATTTATTTTATCAATTAAATATTGATATGTATTTCATAATGAATAATTAAAATGATTTTATTTGTGAATTAAGTTAATTTAAACCAATCATCTTAAGCAAAATTACTTATCTAAATTCGGTTTTTTAAAAAGAATTATATGATTGTTAAGTATAATTTTATTCTTATTAAACACAAATTGAATTTGTTGATCAATCAATGACGCCTCCATTGTTGTATCCGTGATGAATATTTCGAAGACAGATATCCTCAAAGTTCAAAATCCCATTCACTGGGAAAGGTAAACTGCCAACGTGATAACGTCCTTTCGTCTGTTAAAGTAAGCCTGTCCCTACTCAACCAAAGAAATTTCCTTGTGGCTTCGATAGTTTAATCGGCTCCCATTTTCTTTTACTCTTTACAACTGACTCCGTTGGCCCACTTTGAAGCCGTTTTTGTAATGCATTGCCATGCTTTTTCCTCGAATTTTCGTGGCTTTCCTCACTTTTTCTTATGTCTTGTCTTATGTGGACTGGATATAGTACAGTTCAAACTTTTACTATATGTTTGTCATTTTCAAGGCCCGTTTTAACTTGGCTGTGTTACATAAATTGAATTTTTGAATCCCCAAATTTTTAATTTGGCCCCAATCTAACTAAGATCAGGGGAAAGAGTTAATGGGTCTTGTTTAGTCCTTGGGCTTTTGTCTTGTTATGAACAGTACTGGTTCCTAGCGGGCCAGCTTCCATTCCTCGTCCCAGTCTACATTTCAAAAATAAAAATTGCTATATCTATTATTAATCACAAGAAAAACAATTTTAACATCTCTTTTTCCTTTTTAATTTAAACTATGATGATCCACAATTATGATTGACAATCTCATTCAATCCTACTTATTATACGGACTCCAGTGCATTTTTATGCTCTTTCGATTTACTTTGGTACGAATAACAGTTGTGCAAATGCACTATGCCAACCATTTTCTCATTACAATCCCCCCCTTCCTCTCAGTTCTTATATTTTTTCAATAATCTATGACCTTTGTTAGCATGAAAATATATATATACGTGTGATCTATGCAGATGATAGGGCTGGGCACGATTGTGATGATGCCCCTCTTGGGTAATCTATCGGATAAGTATGGGAGGAAGGTCATTCTCACTGTCCCTATGACCCTCACAATAATTCCCATAGGTACTTTTGCGTTCAGTTTTTCCCTTTGTTATGTTAATATGATAGTGAAAGAGTTAAATTTTGAAGGTAACTTTAATATGCAGAAGTTAAATTCATACCGTAATTTAATATTACAAATTAAAATGATAATATAAGAATATTTAGCTTCAATGTTGATTGTCAAGTGAACTTTTGCAATGGACTGCTGGCTGTTTCACAGGCATATTAGCTTACAGCAGGACGAGACAATACTTCTACGCGTACTACGTGTTTAAGATACTAATTTCAATGGTTTGCGATGGAAGTGTTCCTTGCCTCGCACTAGCTTACGTGGTAAGTCCTCACTACTTATCTAGTTATCTCAAATAATTACATTAGCTTTGCCCAGATGAAAAATATATGTCCTTATTACACCATTTTCCCCTCTTATGTTTTTATCCACTGTAATTGGTCGCGAAATTGGTTTATTAATGTTGTTATTTATGCAGAAAGCACCGCTCTAATGCTCTAGTTTATTTGATGTGCGAAAATGTTATAATCTTATTTAAAAAACTAATTACTGTTTGCATAATTTTAATAGAAAAATAAAAATACTAACGATGTATTTTAAATATAAATTATATTAACTAAAATTTATTAACTAGTGTAAATTAGTCTTACTTTCTATCAAACAATTTTACTAATAATTTGCGAGCTTTAATCAATTTTATTTGATAAAAAGGTCTTAATGGTGCATTATCTAGAAATAGAACTGCATAATAATTTAATTAGTTAATCAATACATTCGTAAATAACATATAAATAACTACGAAGAATCGTAATAATTCAAATACCAGGTTTTGATTTTAAAAAAAAGTAATATGCTTTTATTATCGGATAAAGTTTTTATAGAACTCACTGTAAGATGTGTCATTTCGGTGTAACTAACTTTATGCGAACTTCAACTAATATTAAGTAACGTGTTGAAAAGATTATGCTACTAACTTTTTTAAATAAATAATTGATTTAAAACTTACTATTAATATATTTTTAAGTCATTATTTGTTATTATATACAGTTTATGTAGAATTTATTAACTAAAAATGACATCACATTATTTAATTAACATATTTCTTATATATATATTTACATTTGTTTTTTCTATCACATCATAAATTACAATTTTTTTTCTTTCTCTTTTTTTTAATCTCTTTTTCTCCCTGCTCACATCACACTTAAAATGTAGTCATCAAAGTATAATCACAACTCATAAATTTAACTTAATAATATATAAAGATATTAAAAAGTATACACTAAAATATGTTACTATTATTTATCTTTGATTTGTTAAACAAGTAAAACAACTAATTAATTTATGAAAAATTAAAATTATTGCTTAAAATCCTTTTATTGTATAAAAATATAATATTTATTTTATCAATAATTAAAAATATAATAAAATATTCTAAAAATTACCAAACCTACGTTTAAAAAACGGATAGCAAGTAAGAAAAATAAAATATAAACACACGCTATTAGTAAAGGGTGATGATATTTTGACTGTTATTTTATATAAAATATTGTTTTAGTGCAAAGAGGAGAAAAATAAGAATAACAAAATGGAGAAAAAGTAAAGAAACATAACGTATGACTTGATAAAAAAAAAAGTGAATAAAAATAAGATTTAAGAGGATGAGAGAGTGAAAATATTATAATTTATAATCAACCATGAAATTAGCCAATCGTAGAAAATTTGTTAACTTTCCCTTCAATTTGTTTATGTTTTTTCAGGCAGATAACATTCCAGAAGGTGGACGAGGCACTGCGTTCGGAATTCTATCAGGAATAGGGTCTGCTGCATTCGTGTGTGGCACCTTATCAGCTCGATTCCTATCCACTGCCTTAACTTTTCAAGTATTTTACTCAATGCAATCACATATTTAGTTTTTTCTTTCTTTTATTGCAATGCTTACACCTATTTCTTTAAATAAGGTTTCCACTTTTGTCGCGGTGATCGGAGCAGTGTACATGCAGTTTTTCCTTCGTGATTCCGTCATTGATGACAACTACCTTTATTCCCCAATCATTTCACAAGCAAAACCCGCATCTTCTAAAATTGATGGAAAACCGAAAAGCAACATGGATCTTTTTAAAGCATTGCGCTCTTTGAAGGATTTAACCTCTTTCCTTAATAGCAGGTGAGGAAATTTTGCCTCCTTTAATCCTATCAAGCAAGCATTTTTGTTTTGTGTATAATAAATACTCAAATTTGCAGCTTAACTATTACTCAAATTTGCAGCTTAACTATTACTCAAGCAGCAATTGTTGCATTCTTCAGTAACCTCGCAGATGTTGGTCTTCATGGTTCATTGATGGTACCTTTATACCTTGTTCAAGTTCTCTTTTGTATACTTTCTATCATGCATATTTCACATTTATTTTATTTTTGAACGTCAAGGTTGTAAAAGCTAATGCACTTTTAAATCAATACCATTAATGCTTATACATATTCCCTGTTGGCTATTTAAAGACATATTCTGCTATAGGCTTCTAATATTGTTAACTAGCAATTTGACGCTTGATTTCTTGGATTTTCAACCTTTTCATAGTGGAGCACCCAAGTCCATCAGAAATTTACTATTGCATATTTTTGGCAACTTGACGATAAAATAAAATACTTTTTGCATAAAGTAAAGCTAGTTAGCCAAGTATAATATTTGATAACACTTTTTTGTCCGTGCAGTATTTCTTAAAGGCTCAATTTCATTTTGACAAGAATCAGTTTGCTGACTTGATGGTCATTTCTGGAATTGCAGGGACTGTGTCCCAGGTAATTTTTACATGACTACATTTCAATTATCAACTGCATTCGATTTTCTTTTTGTCCTTTCACAAATCTTTAATTTCTTTGAGTTTTATCATGAATCTAAATATTAAACATTGATTTTCACAGCTTCTGATCATGCCCATTTTGGCTCCTATTTTGGGAGAGGCAAGGCTGCTTTCAATTGGACTATTCTTTCATTGTGTACATGTAAGCATTTTACTTTTTACGAAATTGTAAGTAAAAAAAAGTCGTTCATTTATGAGGTTCTAAATTAGCGAAATGGAATGGGATGCAGATGTTCCTTTACAGCATAGCATGGTCCTCCTTGGTATGTTCTTCGTAACTCTCTTGCTAATTTTAAGTGTGTTTATGTTAATTGTTTTTTAGCATGTAGTATAAGGTTGTCACATGAGATAGTGTGGTTGATTATTTGTGCTTTTATACGATTCTAATATTCTTTTTTGTCCTCGTTTCCTCTTTTTTATGTTGTATAATTTCTAGTGTCTTGAATATTGACAGGTTCCTTATGTTGCTGCTATGTTCTCAATCTTGTTTGTTTTCTCACAGCCTTGTGTAAGTTTATTTCCTTATTTTATCTTCCTATATTACCCCTTAAATGGATATTGATCTTTCTCTCTTTGCCCTTAAATAAGTATTTGTTCAAAACATGATGTTGTGTAATTTACTTTTGCATTTTACAGATACGAAGTATTGTGTCAAAACAAGTTGGGTCTCATGAGCAGGTAAAATGTTTATAATTTTTGTGCCATGCATAAATAAATGGGATCTTGAGAAAATTTTTCTTCTTCAACAGTGCTTTTTACATTGCTAGAATTGATTTTCTTTGTCCTTATTAGTAAGGTCAAATTTAAATAGCTTTCAAAAAATTTAAAAATTTTGTTCAATGTAAGTAATAGACTTAAATTTCAATTTATAGATACATAAATAATATTTTATTAAATAAGTTAATTTTTATGAGTTGACATTGTGGCGTTTTATGAGTTAACGTGATATATAGCTCAATTGCCTTCATTTTGTTGGTACTGTACTGCCAATAAAATATAGTGTAATTGTTTTAATTAATGTAAATGGTTTCTTTTTCCTTCACTCTTCCTAGAGTTGACATGTGAATCGTATTCTAAAAGGTAAACATGAGTACAATTTTCTCAATGGAAAAATTGCTTAGTCTTTTATGATAGAATGCTCTTTGTTTAACATAGTTCCTATTTTAATTGATAATTTACCCTCATTGTCTTTCTCTTCAGGGAAGGGCTCAAGGTTGCATATCGGGCATATGTTCAGTTGCACATATAGTTTCTCCCTTGGTTTTCTCTCCATTAACAGGTGAGAGGAATGACATCATGTCTTATTAGGTTTAGATTACCACTGAAATTTATTAACAACTAGTGCTCTCAATTATCAGCACTCTTCCTGTCTGAAAGGGCACCCTTTGATTTTCCTGGCCTCAGTATTATGTGCATTGGATTTGCTTCGGTAAGAACATAACTTCAATGGAAATGTTGTACTATCTCTCTCTCTCTCTCTCTCTCTATCTATATATATATATCTTTGATTCTCTGTTATCCCAATGAATCTCCACTATTATATGTTGATTGCATAATTATTAGCTTAGGTCTGGTATAGAATTGAATTGTAGTTATTCGTTCATGTGATATAAAAACACAGCATAAAAGTAACGTCGCAGTGCATAATACTCTTTTGATGTCGGGTATTTCATCTCAGTACATGAATTTTTGTATATATCTACGTTGACATATTTATTTATATTTTATTTGGCATTTGTATGATTGAATTTTGTTTTGCAGATGGTATCTTTTGTGCAGAGTATAATGCTAAGAGTGGCTCCTCCCATTTTGAGTTAGTAGGAGAAAAATTGATTGGAGCCTTAAAAAAAAGATCGTGAATATTATTGTGTGGAACCATTCCTCTTCCATTCAAGCTTTGCCTTTAACCGTGCTTGTGATGAGGAAACAAGATGCTAAAAAAAATATATTGTTAAAAGTAGATATTTGAGAAGCTTTAGTAGTCTCTTTTTAGTAGACATTTTATTTCTCTGTTCATCTCTTATGATATTTAAATCAATAGATAGAAGGGTAAATTTTTTACTCTTACTCTTTCATTAGTTATGTTGTTGTAATTTAGAAACAGAGATAAGATATGCAAGTGCAACATATTATGTCTTTAATGCTATCCTCTTTGTAAGTTTCCTTTTTATGAAATGGGCCTTGATATTAAGGATAATTAATGATTTGTGTAAATTTATTTTATTTTAATTTATAATCTAAAATTTTTGTTTTATTAAATATATTTGTGTTAAATTCTTAAAGATAGTACTTTGTTATTTGTTGTAATTTTATTAGTTTAAGCTCTTATTTGAAGTTCAAGTTTTAAGAGAAATATTTTTGTCGTCTATTGTGTTTAGTAAAATCTATAAATCTAAACCTTAAAAAATAATGTTAATAGAATACTTCATATACTAAATATAAGATCATTTAAAAAAATTATCATAATTTTTTATATATATTATGTTCTTATACAAAATCATTATTGCAGATAGAATAATTAATTAGATTAAAATAACTAACTTCAATCATTTTAAATAAATTTTGAAATACTTTATATTTAAGATCAGAAATAGAAATTCTAATTAAACCCGGCCAAGAGTATATACAACTGGTAGGAAATTTGAATCATCTACTTTATTTTGGTCAACGCATCATGGACTTTTTTTTGGGGTCAAAATATCAGCGACCGAACATGACATGATTTAATGCAACCCTGTCCTGAGGCCAAAAGAGTCAAAAGGCCGTGAGGTATAAACCTACACCGTGGGAAGTAGTTGTAATGAAAAAACAGACAATACCTCCTGTCCTCCTCCAAATCCGTAACCTCCACGTGTACTTTAATTTGTTCAAAAATAGACGTCAACGACAACGGAACGAGTGGCCAATCCCGTTACCTTGTGTTTCCCGCTAACACCATCTTAATATTTATTGCATTTAGCCATTCGGTTTCGCCGCCAAACAAATTGATCGACCAAATAATGCTGTAGAGTCCGAAACGCCGATCTGCGTGTGATAGTGAGCGTTTGCGTTTCGCATCATTCAACGCTCCCTATCACCCTTTTCCTCTCCTCCTTCAATCTATTCTAACCTCCCCCACCGGTGACTCCTGCATGGTCACAATGCCGCAGAAATCGAATCCCGTGGTCTACGTCCACGGGACCCTCGATCTGAGAATCGTCGAGGCTCGGTTCTTGCCGAACATGGACCTATTTTCGGAGCGCATTCGAAGGTTCTTCTCCGCTCTCAACACGTGCAGCTCTTCCATCACCCGCAAGAGGAGTAACCACCACTCCCGTCACCGACACCGCAAGATCATCACCAGCGACCCTTACGTCACCGTTTGCCTCGCCGGTGCCACCGTGGCACGCACCCGCGTCATCTCAAATTCCCAGAACCCCACCTGGAACGAGCGTTTCAAGATTCCCCTGGCGCACCCGGCCTCGCAGGTCGAGTTCCACGTCAAGGACAACGACATGTTCGGTGCTGACTTGATCGGAACAGCCACCGTCTCCGCCGAGAAGTTTCTAACCGGCGACGTCATCAGCGATTGGTTTCCGATCATAGGTTCGTTCGGGAAGCCGCCGAAGCCTGATTGCGCGGTTCGGCTGGAAATGAAATTCACGAGGTGCGAAGATAGTGATCTGTTCCGGCCCGGCATTGCGCCGGATCCGGATCGGTTCGTGGTTCGGGATTCGTATTTTCCGGTTCGGCATGGAGGATCGGTGAAGCTTTATCAGGACGCGCACGTGCCGGAAGCAATGTTGCCGGAGGTTGAGTTGGAGGATGGGGTGGTGTTTGAGCATGGAAAGTGCTGGGAAGATATTTGTCACGGAATTCTGGAAGCTCATCATTTGGTTTACATTGTGGGCTGGTCCATTTACCACAAGGTGAGGCTCGTTAGAGAGCCCACGAAGCCCTTACCCAGCGGTGGGAATTTGAATTTGGGGGAGTTGCTCAAGTACAAGTCACAAGAAGGTTTGCGAGTTTTACTGTTGGTTTGGGATGATAAGACTTCCCACAGCAAATTTTTCATTAACACGGTATCCTTATTATTATTATTGTTATTATTATTATCATTATTATTACTATTATATCTTTTCGCTAAGTTAAGGTGAAAATTGATTTATTGGCTTCAATTCTGTTTTTGTTGGTTTTCCTACCACATGTATGTTTCATATTGATTAATATTATGGTCAACATACTCCTTATAATATGTTCAATCCTCCTCTCATAAGATAGCATGCAATAATTGTACTTATTTTTTGACTATTTGACGTGGTTGCTGATACACCTTGGGTTTTTTATTTTTAAAATCACGTTATAAGCACATGACTTCGTGTGCATTTCTGAATTTGCTTCCAAGTTCTAACTGATCTGCATTCAGCTTTTGTTTCCTTAATGTTACTTTTTATGAGTTTTGCACATCCAAGTTGCTTAAACAGAGACACTGGTTTGGGCAGATTTACTTTGTTTGGCATTCTGCCTGATTACCTATGGTGTTCGTTGAGTTTTTCTTTTTACAACCTTATAAGTTGGTTATTTGATTGCAGACTGGAGTAATGCAAACTCATGATGAAGAAACTCGAAAGTTTTTCAAGCATTCTTCAGTTAATTGTGTGCTGTCACCAAGATATGCCAGCAGTAAGCTTAGCATTTTCAAGCAGCAGGCATGCTTTATGCTATGGTTTAGTAGCTTTCCCCCGACTTCTTTAATTTTCCTGTTAGAGAGTTCTTCATACTTATTCATGCTTGCTTTCCATCCTTTCAGACTATCACTAATTTTTATTAATGGATCTTAACGTGAGATTTTTATAATACAAAGTAATATGAACTTTTTAGTCTTTTTCTTCGTAGACATTAAATAGGGGAAACCATATCCAAATCTATGAGTGTTTAAGAGAGAAATAAACACAAATTTTCACATAACATGATCATGTGAAAATGTAACATGCGATTATTCATTCCCATGCACGGGATAAATTCCTTCCTTGAACCTTTTCATTGATGTGTTACTGAATTAGTGGGCATCCTTTGTTTCAGAATGGCCCAAACTGCATACCTGGCATATTTAAACCGTTTATTTAACGGTTGATCCCAGAAAAAGAAAAACAAAACCGTTTCTTTAACAATCAATAATTGAGTATTTGGATTTTTTTATAGAAAAAATTTGGAAAACCTTTTGACTGTATTATGTGGCATTAAACTTCAGGTTGTTGGGACTCTCTTTACGCATCATCAGAAATGTGTGATTGTGGATTCGCAAGCACACGGCAATAATCGGAAGATAACTGCATTTGTAGGTGGTTTAGATCTTTGTGACGGGCGGTATGATACACCTCAACATAGAATCTTCCGTGATCTTGACACTGTTTACCGGGACGATTACCATAATCCAACGTTTTGCGTAAGTTCTTAGCCTCTGAGGATACCTTTCATCACTTATAAGTTGTGAGCATTCCTAAATCTACTTCGATTTGGGCTTTTCTTTTTAACGTGACATATCCAGTTTCTGTTTCCCTTCTCTGATAAGTAAAAATAGTGATTTCTTGGTCTGAAAGTTTGGTAAATTCTATAGTGCTATGAAAAATGAGTAAGTATTCTGTGTTTTTGTATACTTGAAACAGTGGAGTTAGTGGTATATTTAAAAAAGAAATAAATATTTTTTAATATCTTAGTATAATTTAAAAAGAATATTCAATGCCCCTTCAAAAGACATAAATAAACAAGCACTTTGAACTTCTATATATATATATATATATGACAAAAAATTTATTGGAAGGAGTACAATAAGTACTCAGCAATATACATCAAAAGTAAAAGGTATGATACACGTGTAGAATCCTTCTCCAGAGGAAGGATCGCAGATTTCCACTAGTCAACACTAACCAGATCCCTACGGAATATAAGGTCATAATCACTTCAAACCATATATCAGTTCACAGAAAAAATGCACTCTGTAATGGCTATTAAGAAGCGGTTTTTATTACCAGCAAAGCCCAACATCCCATATTCTGCAGAAGCATTTGAACAACACCGAAAGTACTTCTCGGTCTGAAGTATTAATTTCACATTGTTTTTGGCATACTGTAAGCGTTAACTTGACTCACACGATAAAGTTGTGAACAGAAAACTTTCATGCCATCCTTCCACTCAATTAGCAAGTTTGGCATGTTAGAGAGACAGCAATGTTTTTGCCACTTCGCATCTTGTAACTTCATAAACATAAATGTTGTCCAAGTTTTTGTTTGATCCCTGATATTGAGATCACCAATGCACTCTTACCAACTGAAATTTATCTTTTTTTTCCGTTTTTAATGATAGGCGGGAACCAAGGGTCCTAGGCAACCATGGCATGATTTACATTGTAAAATTGAAGGCCCAGCTGCATATGATATACTCACTAATTTTGAGCAGCGCTGGAGAAAAGCCAGCAAATGGTCTGAGTTGGGTCAAAAATTCAAGAGAGTATCTCACTGGCACGATGATTCTTTGATCAAGTTAGAACGCATTTCTTGGATTCTTAGTCCTTCTGAATCAATTCCAAATGATGATCCTGAACTTTGGGTTTCAAAGGAAGAAGATCCTCAAAATTGGCATGTTCAGGTTACTAGTTTTCACTGTCTTTAAAGTACAGCTTCTGTTAGCTTCTTTTTGTTTCAACAGAAAATTTGTTTACTTACATTTTTATTTATGTTTATCACAGGTTTTTCGATCCATAGATTCTGGCTCTTTGAAAGGATTTCCCAAGGATGTATATCAAGTTGAGGCTCAGGTAACTTTAAATCTTCAATGAGATGAATTTATTCAACATTGGATTGCTCTATATAGAGAAATGTTATAAATTATAAAACCTTTGGATTTCCCGTCTCACTAATTTCTATTTTATTGCAATTCATGGCAGAACCTTGTTTGTGCCAAAAATTTGGTCGTAGACAAGAGTATCCAAACAGCATATATACATGCGATCAGATCTGCTAAACATTTTATTTATATCGAGAATCAATATTTTGTGGGATCATCCTTTGCTTGGCCATCTTACAAAGAAGCAGGTTTTGGCATACTCTTACTCGTGTAACTTGTAGCATCAGCTTATCGCTCATAATTTCTGTATAAGCACCTATGGCTACTATTTAGCATGCCACTTGCATTTTGCTACTCTTAGCTCAGAACACTACAAAATACCGTGGTTTTTGGCTCACAGTGTAAATCAAACAACTGCTTAGTAAATATGATGAACTATAACTGGCTCAAAGTAATTGTGGGCTACGCACTACGATTGTGAATATCTACAGCGCTTGAAATATCGTAGTTTTTCCTCAAAGCTCACCTAGTGGGATAGGAATTGGTTATTGTCATTGATCCTTTTCATTAATTTTTTATGAAAACATTTTCTACTTATCTAAAATTCCATTCTATGATCAGGTGCTGATAACCTAATTCCAATGGAGTTGGCATTGAAGATAGTCAGTAAGATCAGAGCCAAGGAGAGGTTTACAGTTTACATTGTCATCCCAATGTGGCCCGAAGGTGTCCCTTCTTCTGCCTCGGTGCAAGAGATTCTCTTTTGGCAGGTAATATAGTGTAAAATAGGTCTAGATTATCATATAACCTTTTTAAATAGTAGATAATTTGCTCGTTGATCAATTGTAAGTGCCGTGTTTATTAATTAAAAAGGAATTCACATTTTCAGGGACAAACTATGCAAATGATGTATGAAATCATAGCCCGGGAATTGAAATCTATGCACCTTGAGGATAGTCATCCACTAGATTACCTCAATTTTTACTGTCTTGGGAATCGAGAGAAGTTGACAACTGAAGTTTCAAATTCAAGTTCACCTTCAGATAATGGCGAAACGGTAATCATTCAAAATATTTTTTTGATTCTGGTGCATCATTAATGAAAGGACTCAATTACCAGGCAGTATACAAAGTGTAAGGACCGTAATTTCAAGTATTATGTTTGTCACCCCTACAATACATGGATATCATAGAAGTAATATGTTTTCTCTTTAAACTCTTTGGAAGCAACCGGACCCAAAATCTCCTACATGTGTTGTATAAAAATAATTTTTCAAGTTATTATTTTAACAACGAATGATAAATAATACCATTCGTGTTTTATTGTGTATGTATACTTAATGAAAGAAGACTCATCTCGAATATGCTTCCTCGTTCTAGCAACAGTCCTTATCTCTAAGTTTACTAAGGTTCTGGTGATCTTCGAACAGGCCTTCAATACTACAGTCTTAGTTTATTTTGTTGTAGTGATCCCCTCGAGCAGATCTTCAATTATAGGTGTTGGTTTAGTTATGCACTTCATATGTGGGTCTTCGTTTCAGCATGGGATGAGGTGTTCCTTCAATCCTTCGGCCTATCTTGAGTAAAGAAATTAAGAACTACGTAAATAGGAGTGAGGAATTGGAACGAAGTAAAAAAGGAAGGAGAAAGATTGAAAGCTTTAATTATTTCTTAGGTCTTATTTCTCTTGGATCTTGAAGTTCAATTAGTCAGTCGATCTTGCTAATTGCTACATTCTTTTATGCTACTGAGAGTGTGAATGTGAAGTAATGACCAAACTACTTGTTGGCAGATGTGTATTTCAGGGTTAATATTCTTATTTTGAGTTTGATGACATTAAGCTAACCTCTTTCTGTAATAATCACTAGGTTTCATCCTCACAAAAGTTCCGACGGTTTATGATTTATGTACACGCCAAGGGAATGATTGTGGATGATGAATATGTGATACTTGGATCTGCCAATATAAATCAACGATCTATGGCTGGATCAAGAGATACTGAGATAGCAATGGGTGCATATCAACCCCATCATACGTGGAGCAAGAAAAAAGGACATCCACACGGTCAGGTTTGTACAATAAATTCATTGAATATATATACTCTAAATTAGACTACACAGTTTCTGCTTCATCTTCCTAGGTCTGTTGAGTCAATTCCCAGTTAGTTCTTTCAGGAGGACTTAATTAAGGTATTTACAGGTATATGGGTATAGAATGTCTTTGTGGGCAGAACACATGGATACCACACTTGCTTGCTTCAAGGAGCCTGAGAGTTTGGATTGTGTAAAGAGTGTGAATAAGATTGCTGAAGAAAACTGGAGGAAGTACACAGCGGAAGATTTTACTCCATTGCAAGGGCACCTTACGAAATATCCTGTGATCGTAAATGTAAATGGAAAGGTAAGATCCATACCTGGATATGAGCAATTCCCAGATGTCGGCGGCAAGGTGCTTGGCTCCCGGTCTACCCTTCCTGATGCTCTAACTACATAGGCTAAGCGCAAGCATAGCCTCTTAATTTCCACGTGAAATACGTACAGTCGCAAAGATAAATGGCAATTGGATTGCTGGACGTGCTTGGTACAAACAGTTTGTAAAGGGGCATTCCCTGAATTTTAATTTTTGAACCATCTACGGTATAGTATACACTAAGGTGCCCACGGTAATTACAAATTAGTGGATTGCATGCCACAGCCACATTGTATATTTGTATCGTTACTTTTCTACATATAGACATCGGAAGCGTACTAAACCCACCTGAATCGACTGCCACAGATTTCATGGTTGTCGTTAATCATTGATATAGTGCTAATTTAACATTTCAGTTGGGGGAAATATGTTTAAGATTTTATACTAACAGAAAAAATAAGAGTAAATGAAGATATTCTTAGACTAAAGCTTAATACATTCTTGTTATCAAATTGTTCTTTCGTTATTCATATATGAAATAATCTTTTAATATTAATTTCAACATTAGATTAGTTCACGAAAAGTCAAAAAAAGATATAAAATTTTGACATTATATGGTTAATTTTAGAGAAACCTAAATTAATAATAAACTTCCAAATTAGACTTCAAGATTATGAGTCGTATATTTTTATTTTGAAAATTTTAAAAAAAATTATTGGTTGTAATTTATAAATAGTATATATTTTCATATTCTTTTAGTATACAATAACAATAAAAAATAAGATAAAATAATAAAAATGCATGCTAACTTAAGGTTTGCTTTCTGCACTAATGCCTTGAACTTCAGGGTGGTACTACAGAGTAACAAATACACTAAACTGTTATTATATTAATTATGGAAACTATTTTGTAAACAACTATAACATTAAATTACTACTTTACAATATATTAAGGAGGCCGACAGAAAATAACCTTTAGCGAAAAAATATGCCAAATATTTTGAAAAAAAACTTCTCTAATAAAATTAGTTAAGCTTTAAAACTTGTTTTGCCTTTAAAAAAAGGCTTTTAAACTTCGCAGGCTAGGATATGGCATACTTAGTGAGCACATAAAGGTAAAAATTAATGTTACTTTTGACCGAATAATTGTCACTGATGGTTAATTTTAAGCAAACAAATGCTGATAATTTATTAAAAATTATATGGTTAAGATTAAAAATTGATTAAAAGTCGTTTGATTTACGTTTAAATATTTTGATTATTTGCGTGAAACTTAAGACTTCATATTCAGTCTTCCATGTCCTAGCACTGAACCAAAACAGGTGATTGATAATTACAAAAATATAAACAACAAATTAATTAGCTATCAAGACAGAAGTATCGTATTTAAAAAAATCTAACGCCGATCTACCAAAAAAGAAAACAAAAAAGCTAACGCCATGTCTAGACAAGGGGGGACGGATCTGAAACAAAGCGAAGTAAATGAACTACATTGAGGGCATTATATGGGTTCATCTCATACAACAAGGATGAATGAAGCTATTCCACAAAACCAAAATTAACAAGAACCATATGAGAAATTAGACAAGATCGCCCTCACGCGAGACATTTAGTTAACAGTGACTTTTCCCACCATACCAGCTCCTTGGTGAGGTGAACAGTAGAAACTGTAGGTTCCCTTTGCATCCAAAGTAACGCTGTAAGTCTCACCAGGCGCATTGAGAAGGTCTTCTTCGGGCATAGAGATTTTCGACGCATCAACGCCGCTAGGAATCTCGTCCTCGTCGAACACAACGTTGTGTGGGAACCCAGCATTGTTCTTGAACACGATCTTTTCTCCAGGGCTCACTGTGAAACTGTCGGGAACAAAAGCCAGACTCCCATCATTACCACCCAGCAACACTTCAATGGCCATAGCATTGCTCGCCAACACTGCACTCGCAGCAGTGGCAACAACAGCAACTCCAACGTCTTTAAGTGAAGCCTTGATGCTAAGCCTTGACAATTGGGGAGTTGAAACCTTAACTGTGCCACTAACTTTGCCAGTGTTTGTTCCACTTGCCTTGAGGCCAGTGAATGATGGAATAGCAACTGCTGCAGAAGTGACTGTGGCCATGTTTGAAGGAAGATTGAGTGAGAAATGAACTTGTTCGTGCGATGTGTTGGAAGAGAATCAAAAGGGTGTTACGCAAGTGCTTTTTTTTTATAGCGTGAATGAATGGGCAAAACAGTGGATTGTTTTTGTGTGGTTCATGTGTGCGGATGAATGGGTGATTCACATAGTACGGATGGGCTACGATGGAGTGGGTTATCTGATGAAGATTGCTTTGATTGGTTGGATTGGATGTTATCTTCTGACGTGGCTTAGATATTTCTTCCAGTGGATATGAAAGCCCAGTGTATTCCAAAGTTGTGGCCGCAGAAGAAGAAGCATTTTATTTAAACTTCGCTTTGTTCCAATTTTATTTTCATTCTTAAGCTAACAAAAAATTACATGGTTAAGTTCCATTAAGTTCAAGCCACAACAGAAGAGACTGATGTTAAAATGAATAACTAAAGCCTCAACCGTACTAATTTATTTTAAAAGTTTTATTAAAAAATTAAATACGCTTCTGCATAAATTTAAATTTTAAAATGATCAAATTAAATCTTAAAAAAACTTATATTAAGTATATAAATTGAATTATACTTTTAATTTAAAAATAAATTTCTTATGAATCTTTGTCAAGAAGATATTATTAATTTTTTTTTATCAAAAGAACTTCATTCAAAAAGATGGAAAGACATGCAAGAGTCTTATTTAGTATATGTCCTATATCTCAAATTCTCTTGTTTAAACAGGGGCGACAAATAGTGGAAATAATTTTGTAGAGATAGTTACAACAACTAATCCAAGTATAAGGATCTTTACCAAATCGATTTCCGACTGGTTTTGAATCACTTTTTTTATAAAACAATTTTGTTCAAAAAACAAAACTATAATTCTGGTTATTTTAGTTTAGGTTCTTAATTTTATCAGCACTAATCTTTACTACTAACATAATAATTGTTTCATTGAGAAGAAGAGCCTTCCTCAGATAAACTTTGAAATCCTTTGCATACTTTCTCCTTTATTGTCACCCAATATATATTTTTTAAATTAATCTGTTAAGTCAAGGAGCTTTAAGGCTTCCAAGTTCCAAGGGAAAAATCAGCTTTTTTAATCTCTTAACACATCCCTACAGAACGTAAGCTCAGCGCACTGTCCAGATCCTTGTTGCTGGGTCACTACAAGATTGTGCGGGACCCGTTTGAAGAAGATCCAAGAGGCCCATGTTAGCCGAAAATCAGAGGCCCAATATAAGATACAGCCCGTCATGTACATTAAGTAGGCTCATTCATTTAAAGTTCCTATGCTACTTGAGTTTCTTATTTAAATATTCTTTGCTTAAATTTTATTTTAATTTTAAATTTTCGTTGTCAATTTTAATCCTCCTAAGATTTAATTTTTAAAATAGTATTCCTATTATCACTTAATAATTTTTTGGTATGTATTTATAAACATCACATAAGTTATTATTTTTAAAGTAATATATAATGTAAAATATTTAGTATATGGTATGTCATCAATAGAAGATAACAGATAAAAACAAATAATTCCTTTTCTTTTTAGATCTGAAACCGTGATTGTCTGTGTTGTTACAAAAGCAAACAGATATTTGTGGCCTTTGCTTTTAAGGTGTCGTTTTACATTTCACAATGGTCTCAATAATCACGGGGAAATGTCCGATGTATTGTTAAAAATGGAAACTTTTAATATTTAAATGCATTTTAAAATGAAAACACATGAAAAAAAAATTTGATTTTAAATAATTTAAATAAGAAAATAGATTAAGCTATTCAAAGGGTAGCTCTAGGCTCTAGCAAAAGTTATCTTGCTTTATGATATTTTATAAATATTAAATTTATCAATTTAATCATTAATTTTATATGTTTTATCATACATATTAAATTTTAAATAACTTATATTTTAAAAATATATATTAAATATGAAATAAAGTTATTAAAAATTATTAATTAAAATTTTTCATTATTTTCTTGTTAATTGTGATTTTAGATTATGTTTAGATACAAAGTTTAATTAAATATTTATTTAATAATTTTTATATGATATTTTATATCATAAAATTTATTGAAATAAATTTTAAATAATTATTTTCATGAATCATGCTAAAAATATATTAAAATAAAGTTTAAAAAGTTCTAAAAAAAATTAATTGGTTTTAGAAGTTTTTGCCGACGACAATGTGGGTGACTAGGAAGAGAACGAGCAAAATGCAATTTCTTCAAGTTAATAAAGAAAACTTGTTTAATAGATTGTTTCTTTCATCAATTTACATAAATTATTTTAAAATTATATTATTTTGATAAATTATTTTTAAATTTTACTCATCGAGGATAAAAAGTCGTAGCATCTACAAATTTTAATGTAAGGTAGATAGAATTGGGTCCTAATTACGTAATATTTTCCTTTTAACACTGTCAACTTATATCGTGTTCGTGATTTCTCTGAACACGTACATGCAACTTTATTAATTGTTGCGTTGTGACTTAGGTTTTCTCTTTGCTAAAGTGTCTAATAGATATTTGCTTTCACATTTAAAGTTGATTTTACTTGTAAAAAAAATATAATTGATGTGGTTCAAGTTCTTCAAAGTCATGTAACTTTAAATGATTTGGAGAAGTTTTCACATTGTGTGAAATATATTTTAACTTGTACGTTGATCAGGAAATACAAGTGAATACATTTTACATTGGTTAATCAATTAATATAAACAAATTTATATTTTTTATATTAATTTTATGAAATTAACGTGTATATATATTCTATGTCAATTCTATTTGCCACATGTTATATCTTTATTATGAAAAATAGTTTATTATACTATTATTTTTAATGTATTTATCGACTAATAACCTTCAATTTATAATATTAAACATTAATAGAATAGTATAAAATAAATTATATATAAAATGTTCTAATTCTAAAAGCATTAAATAATATATTCAAGTTTTTCATTAAATATATTATGTACCGTAATAAAAGTTAAAAAATAACATAGTATATTTAATTTTTTTTTCATAAATTTTTAAAATAGTACTGCATTTTTTGTAATACTTTCTATATAATCAATATAATTTTTGTTACAGAATGTTATGTTTCCCATGAATGAAACGAATTGCTCATACAAAGGAAATCCATTGATTAGGCGCCATTTTTGTCTTCTCTGGTTGATTGGTCTTTCAACATAATAATTGCAAATCACTTTAGTTAATAGTTGTTATGAACCAAGCACCAAATGACGAGTGGAATCACAACTTTAAAAAGAAGCTTCTAGCATTATTATTTATGACCATTTTTTAATACATTTTTAAAAACATGCATTAAAAATGTACATATAATTTTTTTTATTAAATATTATAAAATATAATACATTGATAGCTTTAAATTAAATAAATAAAACATTAAATTTTTATTATATATTAAGTTAGAAAAAAATATTTTATCAGACAAACAAGAAAGTAATAGGCAATCACACAAAAGTTGTCTTGTTTCAATTTTTTTCTTTGCTTAATTTAATTTTCTAAAATATATAATTTGCTTTCTTGCCCTAGCACAACTCCTATTATTTTTTAGCATTATCCTCGCAACTGTTTCCTTGCACACTTTTCTTATATTTATATACTAATGTAATTGCTTATTATTAAGCATGTGAAAATGGATCAAGTTTCTATGAAATTTTAGAGAATAAGATTTAAATTTTTTGTTTAAACAGGGAAATCTTTTTATGAGTATCATTACTACTGATTTTACAGTTTATTACCATACGAAGATTCAAGAGAATTCAAAGGTCTTACCATAAGAGTAGAGACGATATATGATTTTGTTGGCAATGAGATTAAGATAAAAATTAATAAATAAAATGAGATTTAAATGATAACTCATGCAAATTTTTCATCAAAGAAAAATGAACTACGGAAGAGAGGTCGAGAGTACAAGAAAATATATAACTGAGACTAATATTAAACCCTAAAATGAATTAGATTGTATTATTTTGAATGAAATTATGGTAGATTAGCGAATGATACTAATTTCACATTCCTTTCAAAGTTAAGTTTCGGAAGGAATGTGAATTTTCGATTAATTTTCTACCTACACAAACACAGAATAATTATTGATATAAATTTTAAATTTTTTTAATGATATTTATATCCATTTAATAATGATGTATTTAATTTTAAAAAACTTAGCAAATAAAATAATTAAGAAACCAAAATAAATGAAATTAGAACTACAAATACATTTAAAAGAATAAATTTTATTTGTAAACTAAAAAAGATAATCATATGTGTCCAGCTGTCCATGCTGTAACGGATGCTAGTTGTTCTCCTGTCATTGTTGGTAATAATGTTTAAGAAAAACAAAATACAGATAATAGAGTGCATTTTTAATTAATTGAATAGAAAATAAAAAGTAACTTTAAAATTAGTTTTTAATCTTATTTTTCTTTAAAATAAACAAAGAATTTAGTCTTGCTACAAGATCCAACTGGATGGGTGCTGAAAAGGAATAAACAAAATATCATGATTACACGTCAACGAGATCACCCATGCCGCAATAATTAAGTTTTGATGAAAAAGTTATCAAAAAAGTTTTGTTAACTTTAATTTTTAAAGTTTAAAAATCTATAAAGTATAATAAGTTAAACTATCGAATTAGTTAAAAGTTATTGAATAAGATAGTTAAAAGTAAAAAAAGAAAAAGAAAGGTAATTAAGAATTGATTAGTTGATTAGATTAAAATATTTGATTGTATTAGTTTTAAACTAGCTAATAAATATAAAATCACATATAAGTATATAATTAATTATTGTAATAATATTAAAATTTAATAATTATATATTTTATTTTAATTTATTTATCATCTTAAAAATTAAGACAATAAATTTTTAATTTATTGAAATTTATAAATATTTTATTAAATGAAATAATGTAATAATATTCTTATTTTTATTGTAATAATTTTATATTATAGAAAGTTACATTTGATTATTTTATTAGTAAAAAGATTCGACAAAAAGTATTTATTCTTTACAATTGTGAAAAAATTTGTGTGTGACTATGTTTTGGGCCTTACATGTAATGTAGAAAGAGATATTGTAATTTTATAATTGAATGGATAAGTGTGGAATTATAAAAAATAATATTAGACATAAAACGCGAAAAGCATTTTAGCTAGTTACTAAAAAAATAAAAACAATAGTTGAAGTAGCGTTTTATGCTAATAACCAGTCATTCTAGCTACTTAATCAAATAATTTGTTTTTATTGAACACTTTGTTTAGTTAATAAAACAAGCTATTGACTTGTTGAAAAGTTACATGGAACACACTCATAGGAAAAATGATACAAAAATATTATTTGATGTATTTAAAATTATTGTTAAGTAAAATTTATGAGTTTCAATCAACAAAAAATGGAATTCAATTAGCCCCGCGTAAATTTTATATGACAATAAAATTATATGAAAAATAACATACAAAAATCTATCATATTAATATTTATTAATTATCCCTTAATTTGATAGATTCTGTGTACCTGACTTTGGAGCATGGCAATTTGATGGACTCCTTATTTCTCCAAATCTTGAATCAGATGCCAAATAAATTCGATGAATGGAAGATTGCAGCGCAATTTGGTTCATTTCACCCAGTCCCACTCATATATTTCTATAAAGTATACCCGAATAGGTTATAGGATTACCATTTAGACAGGTCTTACTGCTAAAAAAATCATTGACGGTGATTTTGGTATTAATTATTTTTATTTTAATAACATATATTAACATTTAAAACTAACATACTGTTTTTAATATTAGCTTTTATTATATAAATTATGAAAATATAATTTTAATTTTAATTAAAAATATCACTAAAAATATATATAATATTAATTACACTGAAGTTTTACGTCCGTGGAAACAAAGAATGACAAGAAGCCTTTATTTGCAAGTCAGGCCTGCACAATAACAGCTACGTCGGCCTAAGCATGTACGAGAATTAATTGGAATGCTAATTTTCTCTTTATCAAGAAATGAGCTTCAAATAAAGTTATTATTTCACTTAATTCACATTATCCTGAACGATAATGCTCAACTCCTACTAAAAGGCAAATTCATATTCGGTGATTTTTTATCTGACATGTCATACATTAAAAAAATTTATAAAAATGATTATTTATTGTATATTATTGAAGACGCGTGAATTAAAAAAATTGTTCTTGTATTTATGTAACTTTTACCAGGTTATTATAATTAATTAATTATTTGATCGCATCTACACTCTACGAATTATGCTTGGGCGATGTGTAGTTCAGTGCGACGTGTTTCAGTTGAAAATACATGCACAAAGGAATATGCTGATATATAGAAAACAACAACAAAGAAACGAAGTTATAAAAATAGTATGAACAATAAACAAAATTTTATTCCAAATATCGAAAGTTAGAAAATGAAAAAGGGACAAACGAGAGAGAAACCACGACCAACCCATACGCTATTATTGAGTTTCCCAAACAAAAGAAAGAGAGAGTTAAAACCTCAAAGGCATTTAGCAAATGCCAAAGGATCAGTTTAGGATTCGATCAGAACATGGTGTGTCCCTGCGGCCTGCGTGACTGGACTCAGAACATGCAAGGTATATTGACTTGGCTGACGAGCTAAACCCGTTGAAGTTGGTCCCCGAAGAAGTTGTATAAGCACCCATGTTGGGGAACACGAGCCAATCGTTCACTTGCAGTTCCGGTAGCTGGTAATCCCTGAGAACCGTGTCGATAGAATCGCAAGTGGGTCCAAACACAGTGGAAGGGTAAGTCTTGGAGTCCTTGCACGTAGGATTCTCCGGCTTTGAGGTGCAAGCGAGTGGCGTGCACGCGACCGTAGCGAAGTCAAACATTATGCAATTCAGAGTTCCGTATATCCCATCGTCAATCCAATACTCCCTCACCTCACCCCTCACGCGCTTCCCAATAACTCTAGTTGCCAATGTGAAAGCCGTTTCCGCAAAGTAACGACCCGGCTCGCCAATAACCACCAGCCCCTCTTCGTTCCCGAAGTTGGCTTGAATTGCGGCGTTAATTTTCGAAGCTGCGGCGTCAAACAGCGGGCCAGAAGTGAAGCCACCACCGATGTCGAGAATGCGCATTCTAGGCATTCCAAGCCGTGAAGCCGTTTCGAAAACGCTCTTGGCTCCGGCGATGGCTCCATTGTAGGCTCGCGTGTCAGCTCCACCACTACCAATGTGGAACGACACGCCGATTACCTTGAGCCCAGCCGAGTGAGCCGCTTGTAGAAGCTTGGGAACCTCTTCGGCAAGCGCACCGTATTTGAGACCCAAGCTGGTTCGTGCTCCGCTATCATGTGCAGGCTTAATGCGGAGCAGCAACTCGCATTTGGGGTGCCATTTGCGGATTTTTTCAACCTCGTCTTTGGAGTCGTAGGTTGTGACGTTGACGCCTACGGTCGCAGCGTATCTGATGTGTGACTCGGATTTGCATGGGTTAGCGTAGATGATTCTCTCCGGTGAGATTCCGAGAGACAAAACGGATTCGATCTCGGCTTTGCTGGCGCAGTCGAAGCTGGAGCCGAGTGCTGCGAGTGTGCCAATCAATGAGGGGTTGGGGTTGCACTTGACGGCGTAGAAAGGCTGAACCGTTGGAAGCTTGCTGGCCCATTTGTCCATTAGACCCATAACGACCCCTAAATCAAGCACGCTAAATGGTGTGTCTATGTCTGGTTTGTCCTCAATGACTGATTGAATGAAATTAGAGAGGCCATTTTCTGCCGACAATGCAGTGACTCGCTTGTCCTTAACGCCTGAAGCGCAGAAAATGGGCTTCAAGCCCAATGGTTCTGCGCCCATGGCTTCGGAAACCAGTGTAGGCATTTTTGGCTTCCCTTAGTGCGTAGTTAAAACTGGCTAGAGGTAAAGGAGAGAAAGGATAATGGAAATCGTGATTGAGTTGGACGTTGGAGAACGCAAATGGTGAGCATATATATACTGCAACTGAGCCATGTATCATGTATGAGTTCTGAAACCCCCGCCACAGCCACGTGAAGCACGGACGGGACAAATATAATTTACATGCAAAGCTAGGTTACTCCAGTAAAGTGGACCTATTAAGTCTCACCTTTTTTTTTTTTAAATTCTTCTTTAAGCTCGAGGTTGATGCCCTTTCCGTCTCGCCAACCTATTCCATTTGTAATCGATTTTCACGAGTTGGTGTTTAAAACAATAATTTCAATAGGTTTTTAAGACATATTCAAATTATAATTCTTATATTTAATTTATAAATAATATTTTTATATAGTATGATATTATTTTGCGCGTCAACAATCTCTTATATATTACAAAATGTGTTTAATTTTAATTAGATCTTGTCTCTTATATTATCAAGTCATATTTGGACCGAATAGGAAAGAAAATGTAAAAAATATTTGTATTCATGGATATATGTTAGTATATTCACACTAAATACTTTTGTACTCGTAATAAATACTTTAATATTCATAAAATTAGTACAAACGGATATTAAATTATACTGTCAGTTCCGCTCACGTAAAATATATTTTAAATTTTTTATTTTATGATTAAATAAATCTTATTTTAAACATTTTCATATATATATATATATATATATATAAACATCAGTTTTCAAAGTTAAATTTAAGAAAATTAAAAATAATAAAAAATATTTCCAAATATTATAATTTTATAAATGATAACTTTAATATGAAAATATATTACTCTAATAACAATCACTTACTACTTCTACGTACTTAAATTTAATCTTAAAGGTTAAAAATTAATAAAATTACATATATAAAATATAGAGATAAATACCTGTCCTGCACACAAATACTCACTGATCCTACAGGTAGTATACTATTTATCCTTGCCTCAGTGACATCCTCGTGTAAGAATAAAGATAAACAAGCCATGTTTACGCTCTTATTTTTAAGCCCTTTATATATATTGAAACAATTGCTTCAAAATTAATAATCAAATAGTAACATAAAATAAAATACTTTTAGTATATTTTAATTAAATTTTTTAATATTAAATTATATTTACGGGATAAATTATAGTAAATTATGTGAGACTATTTTTTTTTATTTTGATGATGTTTATATAAAGTTCACTGACAATAATAAATAATATTGTTTCATTTCTTATTTAGTAAAAAAATAATTATCGAACAATAAAATAATGTGCTAAAAAACACCAAAAAAAATGTATTATCAATGTCCGTAAAATTTATCGTTTCTTTTAATAAATGAGTAATTTACTTATATATGTATTTATTTTAAAATTAATTAATTATTAAGTATTTTATCACCTTCATCTTTTACTTACAATAAATAAATAATTTTTAACTATTTCGTTTAATAACATTTAAGTTTCATTGATTCTTTACTTATCATCAACGACTTTATTTATCTTCGTTAGCTTTGCCTTATATATGATTTTTACTGGTTTTGCCTTCAAATTTATTGACTCACTTACTTTTTTGGGTTGATATTGATTGTAGTAAATGAGAAGGGATACATTTATTAATTGTTTAGATAAGTACAGTATATTCATTGTGGTTATATAGAAATCAAATTATGTTTTTTAATGATGTTTTAGATGAGAGTAAAGTCCTAAATTTTATCACTTATTAGTAAGGGAGAAACTATTTTGATAGCTGATTGATATTTGAAGCCACGAAATTATATCAGTCTTAGTTATGTATAAATATATTTTTATTTTTTATAGAAAATATTACTTTTTTCTTTATGTATATAGGTTTTGAGTTTTTTTTAAACTCTCTCCAATAATATATGTTTTGTCTATAAAAAAAATATAAAAAAATAAAAAATAAGAAATCAGACAAAGAAAAATTTCTGTACGATGAGATTTAATTATATACTACCAAAAGCATGGTCAATAAAGTAAAGTGTGATAAGGTTTAATTACATAAATTATGGTTTCTGAATGTATTTTAAAAATAAAATTTATTGATTATTTTATTTTTTACTTAGTCGTATTTTTATCAAAATTTAATGTAATCTATAGATCATCCGTTAAGTGAAAATTGTAAATCTATTTAAAGATAGAAAGAGTGAACTTCACTCGTTTTTTCTTTGGTATAATTTTAAATAAAATTAACTTAATAATAAAAATATTTTTTAAAATATTCTATCAGAAAATGTATAATTAATATATTTTTAATTTTATCCTCACTTGTATAAAAACAAGTTATTTTTATTTATTATTTATATAGTTTTAAAAATAATAAAATATTAATTATTTTTCACTTTCTGCATTAATGGATGAAATGTCTGTTAAAATGTATACACATTGAAGAGATGTGAAAAACATATATGTTTTTTTTTTTTTTTAATTCTTTACGTGGCATCAATGACTTTATTAGTCTTTATATAATAATCTTAAAATAAATAAAAATAACTGAAAAAGCTATTTCTCAGAAAACAGATTATAATAGCATATTTCAAAAAGCACGTGGTCAATATTTTTGCTATTGTATTTTTTAAAAACAAATTATTAAAATAAAAATTCTTTAAAAAAGCAGACCTATTTGTATTACTATTTTACACATGCAAAACGGAGGTAGGGCAATTTTTCATGCATTATCCTAAAGCAGACATTTTTTTCTTTCGACCAATCCCCATCGTAAAAGTTATAAAAACAGGCCATGTATATATGCACAGTTTATAGCTTGTAAAATTATGCGTATCCTTCTTCTTTTTTATTATTATTATTATACTTTCCCCATTCTTATTGACTTGTTCTATGCGATTTTCTCGTCTTAATAGTTTTAATTACATAAATATAGCCTTTGAGTTTTTTTTTTTTTATGTTAAAATCGAATCTTTCGTCCTAACTTTAAGTCCAAGCGTTGACGGAAAGTACGGACCTAAAATCAATTTAAAAATTAAATTATAATTATATAAGCTATAATTATTATATTTTATATATTTATATTCAAATTTTTATTATATTATATATCACTTCTATATTTTTTTTATTTCTATCTTTCTTCTACATATGTTTTTGTAACTCTTTCTTTTGCATATTTCACACCTATTTAGTATATATGAATTTTTTTTTCATATAAGATATTAAAAAAAGCCTAAAATATAGTGATGGGATTTAAAATTCTTTTTCAGTTGACATTAAAATTATTTATAAAATTTATTCAAACATTAATGTCTGTATTACTTTTTACAAATATATATATATATATATATATATATATATATATATATAAGTTAACTTTGATACATTATTATTTATTAAATTAAATGATTAAAATATTTATAAAAATTATTAACAAAATATTTTAAACATTTATAACTCTTTTAAACAACTTATAAAAATATATAATTAAATTAATTATTATATAACTTTTTTATAATTCACTTATTAAATTAAATTATTCATTGATTAAATAAACAAAGTTTTACAAATACAGATCATGTCGCGTGACAATATCAGAATCATTGTATTGGGCAAAAGTAATTTTATCTTCTTAGAGACAGTATTTTAGCATGACTGTGAATTAATAACAATTATTATAAAATAAAATATATATTTTTATAATTTTTTATACTGTCTTTTAATTATAACAATTAAATAAGTTAATTTTATTATTTTTTATATTAATCATTTTAAAAGACATACTTATGATGATTAATAATTAGTTATAATATAAATTTGTTTATACGGAGAGATTATTAAAATCAAACTTTATATAATTAATTATTAATTTTATAAAAAACTGTATTTATCATTAACTTCATCAATGTTTTATAAATAAATATTATAATTTAAATATATAAATAATTTAGGTGAGATCCACTTATCGTAAGTTAAATTGAATGTTAGATCTAGATAATGAATTTTATACAACTTAAAAAGTAGATGATATTCTGTTAATTAAATTTATTTTAATAAATGCTATATTTTTTCAAATATCAGTCAATTTTTATTATTGAATAGCATATTTATTAATATTTAATTTAACTAAAATTCTATGTATATGAATATTTGATTTGTTAAATCTTTATTTTGTGACAAGTTAGCGAATGCAATATATAAGTCAAATAGATTTAGGTTTTGTTTAGATAAGTGCATGAATAAGTAATTTATAAAAGAAGAAAAATAATATTAAATTAATAAAAAATATAAATAAAAAATTTATAATTTATTTTAATATGAAGATATATGTTATTCTTAATTTATAAAAATAAAATTTATTTATTTTTATATTATTTTTTCTCTTACAACTATTTATCTGTAAATTCACCCGAACCTAATATTATTCTCTGAATAAGCAGAGATTCAATTAAATAATTGATAATATATATTATATATGTATATATAAATATTATGACGGTGTAAAAAACTAACATGATTTATATTTTTTTATTATTTATAAATAAAATTTAATAATAAATATTTGATACCGTCATATAAAAAATCATTTCACTTAATACATGGCCATATAAAAGACTTAAAAGAAAGACAACGTATCAGAATGATTTACGCGCGAGCATATATATATATATATATATTAAAATAAACAAATAAAAAAGAAACATTGAAGACAATGCATAGGATATGTATAGATAAAAATATAATGTATTAAATTTACAGAGATAAATCGCTAAAATTTATTTTAATTTAATATATGATTTCAGGTTCAAATATTCCTGAACAGAGATGTAATAAATATTTTAAAGGGTAGCGTAGAGAAAAATTAATAAAATCTTCTAGCAGATGCAACTGAACATGCTATGCCCAGAGGGAGCCCAGGCCCCATCCTGGTCGTCATAATTAAGCGGCGAACCGACCTTGTCAATTATTAATTATTCCAGAAA